AGTACCTCTCGAAATGGCCGGAAATGACACTTTTATATATAGTAAAATTCATCATCTCATATTACGGTACCATTATAGTCAAAATGAAACGCCAACAAATTTCTCATGATCTTTTATCAGGGATCTACTTAATATCCAGGACAACTTAGGCCTAATTATAGCTTACTAAGCTTTAACTATATATACTATATTATGATCAACAAATCACAACGTTTTCCGCATTTAGCACAATTTTCTTCACTTTTTATTGTTAATAATATTAATATCAATTATTACTCTTGTCATCATCATCATTGTTATTATTATTATTATTATTATTATTATTATTATTATTATTACTATTAGTAGTAGTATTATTAAACAAACATTTAAAGAAACTTGCAAAAGGAAAAAAACGAAATTGAACCACAGTATCTCTATCTTAAAAGACCTGGCCTGAGATTTATGGATTTAAGATTTTTTAAATCACGCTTAGGCTTATGTGTTCTATTAGGCCTATGTATAACGTGTACTGATGCATATTTACATGTTTAGAAGTATTCATTTTAAGTGATCCCAGGAAAGAATTTGTATTGGCTCAAGAATAAGCCTTAAAATGTTAACACTGTGTACAAAGGGGGGGGGGAGGGGAGCCGCGGCTCCCACGGCTCCCCCCTGGATACGTCCCTGGCTTAGATAAAAAAAAAACCTGTGATATTCGAAATCCTGTGATGTGAGACATACTCATTTCTTATTCCCTAGCTTATACCTCCTAGTTCCGTTACATCTGGGTAGCACTTTTTGGGCTGTTAGTAAAGCAAAGAAACCCGGGTAGTAGACTAACCATAAGCGGTTGATCTTAGCTTAATATTGAAGGCCATGCCTATCTATATATATCCCATCGTGAAAGGTTCAATTTGAACCAGGCTCATGCATGTTTCTTACCAGAAAATGATAACTTGCTTCATGGGTATTACTTTTTTCTATCAATTGTAGAGGGGATTCCAGATTCAATAATAATAATAATAATAATAATAATAATAATAATAATAATAATAATAATAATAATAATAATAATAATAATAATGTCCAATAAATCGTGAATCTGCAATACAATTATGCACATGCATATTATGCTTTAATTGTAATTTTGGCAAACAACACATGCAATTATCTCCTGTATACATTAATGGTACTTTGGTTTAATCCGTTGATAATATTAAATAGTTAGGTATCTTAAATTCAAATGATTTGAAATGGCATGATCACATTATTTCTATTTACAAATCTGACATGCAAAAACTTTCCGTTCTTAAATTTCTGAACATTCCCTCTCTACCGAAACTCTTATTCTTCTTTATAAATCCCACATCCAATCCACAGAATACGCATGTTCCGTTTGGTCTTATTCCTAAATGTGACTTGTATTTCTTTCTTTTGAGACAATTTTCGATAAGATTATCGGTCCATGCTTCCTCGTCTGACTGTGCTAATATTCTTTCGTCTTACAATGTTTCTTCATTTGAAGTTCGACAGAAATTTGTTATTCTTAGTTCACTTTCTAAGATTGCCAAAAACCCAAATCATCCCCTACACCATTCCTTCCCCCACGCCATAATTGTTCCAGCTCTTAGAATCTCCCTCTATACCCATGCCTTCGATTTTATGGTCGCTCATTGAGGTTGACATCTTTCTTTCCACATGCAATTGAAATGGCCAACGACCTAACCTTTGACCCTTTGTTTTTCCCCTATTGAGATTAAAATGAAATTAGGCATTCGTAACTAGTAATGTAAGGTATTTATTGTGTTGATTTTGTATTGTTGTTTGTTAATGAGTGGATAATAGCCCTCGATGGCTTTCGAAAGAATACAAATCTTGCAACTTGAATCTTTAAAGCCTGGCCAAGCTTCGGAGGAAAAAATAAATAATGATATGTTGTAAAAATGATTTTTTTTTCTAAG